GATGGATGCAAAGTAGGGCTGCACGATATTAGGAAAACCTGCGATATCCGATAACAGTGCTTAATATTGCGATATCGATATTACTCACGATAAATGAACAAATACTAAAGTATGCAGTGTTGATGTCGTCTGGCGTGTGACGTCTGCTCTGGGTTCAAAGCAAACATAAACTAATTCATGAATTCCATTACAACATAACATTCTTATTGCAAAAATATGCAGCTGCACCTGCTACTGTATTAGCAGCAAAACAACAAACTGCATGCATGCAGTTTCTCAGTGACTTTAAAACATCACCTCCACCATAAAACTTTTTCTGATGCTCCAAATACAGAAAAACATCCCTTACCAGGGTTTTTGAATAAATAAAATAAAATAAGAAAATAAGTTTAAATGTTAAATAATAGTTAACATCACTTAAATGCAACAGCAAATTCTCTCATTGCTACTGAACATTTTCTCCACTTATGTGGTTATGATATAAGGCTGTTGCTGTAATTGGGAAGTGAACTGTGCTGGGCCAAACTAGGAGAATATTAAGATTTTCTGAGGGAAAGAGAAAAACAATTGTCTCCCTTTCAGAAGAGTTTTTGTATTGATTTTAATTTGAACAAATGAAATAAATTTGAAAAAAAAGGAATGTTTATTACTGTTTTATTGTCTTTCAGTTTGTGAAAATAATAATAATAATAATAAATAAATAAATTTTCCACCCCTTACCTTTGGTGTTGAGGTTTAGATTGGAATCTTGGATACAAGTGACTGTTGGGTCTCTAGCCTCATCAGCCTTGGAGATTAGATGGGAGCTCCATCATCAAGAAGCACCTAGAACCAAGTCTCTGCTCCTCCTCGACAAAAAGAGCCCTGTTGATGGCTTCTGAAATTGTGAGTGCTTCTACATCTTCCTGCATTCTTTTTAAAAGCATTAATCGTAAACAACTTTACTTAAATATCACTTTAATTGTCAGTGTAAACAAGTACAAGTCCACTGTAAACAGCTGACCAGCTTTCTTGAAACATGCTAACAGTTGCATTAGCTCAACTTGAAATCAGCATGTGAAAAAGGGGTTTTGTGTCTGTTGGTATCAGTCTCGCTCTACGTTCCGCTGCTCATTCCTTATCTGTCAGCTCTGTGCTCTGTTTCTATTCCTCATCATTTTCACAAATGCTTCATCCCGTCCGTCTTTATCAGCATCTAATGTCACGGCGATTTGCTAAAGTGGATGTGACAGGCAGCCGTCGTTCTTCATTCCTCCTTCGCAGACATGCATTTGCTTCAGGAGGATTATTGGATCTTCTGGTTTTGCTTTATGTGTTGGACCATGAAGCACATATTCTTTCTTTTAAAGTGTGGGTCTGAAAAAGTGTAGGTCTCTTTTGCTTTTGGTCATCAGTTTTCATCTTATTAATAAAAATATGAATGTGTGTGTGTGTGCGTGCGTGTGTGTGTGTGGTTTCTGCTGCAGCAGCCATTATTTGTTTTTTAGTTTTGCTGAAAGTCATCTTGGTTTGCTTTTTTTTCCCGTGACCCCTCAGCGCTGAAAGGCTTTCAGTGAATCATCCTTTTCAGGTTTTAACCCTGAGTCAGTTGGTTTAACAGATGTGTAGAGCTTCTGGCCCAGTGTTTAAAAAAAAAACACTTACAGCTATATGTATAGATTATATCATTTAGAAATGGAGACCATTGCTTTTTGTTAGCTTACAAAAACATGCATCGGTGAAAAAAAACTTCACCCATAGCTATTTATGCAATTTTACCATTATTTCTATAATTTGACCCTTTTAGTTTAATCCTATTGTTGCATTATATCCATCTAATTAAATATCATTGCCCAATATTCCGTAAAAAAGTAAAAATTTGGCTTAAATAAATACTTTGATCATTTTAAAGTGTGTCTGCGCAAAAGTGAGAAATCTTTACCAACTTAGCCACTGTACATAGCTTCCCAAATTATTCAGTTTAGAGAAATACTGTTGGCATCTGAATGTATCCATATTAAATCAAATAAGATCAAACTTTTTTTTTTTTTTTTTCAGATATGCTAGGGCAAGGAAACACCATCAGAGGCGCCATCTGCCCCGGCAGCAGCAGGCCAACCGCAGCAGCCGAGGTACCAACACTGGGCGCAAAGAGGAGGGAGGGCATATACCCCACCTCCACCTAAGCACTGCCCTGAGAATACCAGGGCAGCAACAGTCGACCACGGCCCCCAAGGCAGAGGGCCTCCACGGAGGAAACACAGGAAGAAAGATTAATGTAAGACAAAATATAAAATAACAGGAGCTAATATAATAATAAATGTAAGTAAATAAATAATTAGATTCAATCCAATAAATATTAAAATAATATAGGTGTAAAATAAAATACTGGTAAAATGTAATCAGTTAAAATACCCATATATCATCTGAACCCGCTTGTCCATGCAAGGTTATGGGGGCTGGAGCCTATCTCCAGCAGTCAACGAGAAAACGGGTAGTGAAAATGTATGGTGTAGTCCCTGTACTTAGGACAGGCATTCCACAGGGTTGTATCCTGAGCCCCATCTATTGTACACTTTTCACAAAAAATTGTTCTGCTGGAAATTCTATCATCACATACATTTTAAAATGAGATCAGTACGTCTGTTGGTTTGATTTCCAGCAATGATGGTATCAAAATTGTTGAAAGGGTTGGTGAAGGACTTCTGAAGAAAAGTTCCTTTAAAGTTAGAATATGGAACATTTTAATAAAAAGCTATATTTTTAATAAATATTACTTCCACAGGACATTCAGAGGTGTGCAGAATGAATGTACAGTTTCTCCTTTTAAATCTATTTTAAAAAAGATAAATAATCAAATTTTTATTCTGTCGGGAACAACACTGATTTTGTTTACATCTACCAGCCACTAGAGGGCACCATTGCGCTAAAGAGTCCGCTCAACAAAGCGAGGTTGAGCAGGTGATTCTGATCCCAGAAGATGTTCTACCGGTAAATACCAGGGATGCAACGATACCCCTTTTTTCCAAACCAATACGATACAGATACTTGGATCTGAGTACTCGCTGATATCGATCGCCGATACTTCTACCACACAAAAAAGTGCTATGATTTGGAATACAGATTTTATTTTCTTCTCTGCTTTCAACAGGAAAAGACTGCGAGGTAGATAAAAAGTAAAATATATAAATATAAATAATCACAAAACTAGAATATTAGGTGAACAGTTACAGTGAAGCCATTTTCAAGCAACTGCATTGGTATCGGTTCCTGGTGTCGGTTAACTTTTACCAATACTGATACTGGAATCAGTATCGGCACCGATACCGAAGCCAGAATCGGTGCATCCATAGTAAATACTGTTGTAAAAACGTATTAGTAGAAATTAGTCCTTGTCCTGTACGATTTGTCTCTGAACATGGATCTGAAACGTGTCAGCAGTGAACCAACATCTCAACGGCTGGAAAATTAGTTCTGTTGTTGTAATACCACCTCTGAACACCAGAGTTTGCCAGATTGTCTGTGTTCCATAGTCAACCTTTGTGACATGTTTACCAGCAGGTCCAGAATCAGAGCAGTGAATAAATATTGATGAACCCCGCATCCAGCCCATTAAGCAGAATCAACACCAGCCTGAATAACAAGGCTGAGAAACAGCTTCTTTTTTTTACCCCAACCCTAACTTTTGGTAAGGTCTTACTCGAACACAAATCTACTGCTTGCTTGCAATGATTTAAGTATGTACTGCCCCCTATCGCCAGGGAAAATACACACAGTCACTTTAAGTAATACTTTAAATTCAGTGTTGGGAGTAACGCAGTACAAAAGTAATTAATTACTGTAATGCATTGCTTTTTGCTGTAATGTGGTAATGTAAGGCATTACAGGGAAAGAAAATGGTAATATTTACTCGGTACAATTGTCAGTAACGCGGTAATTACAATGCATTTTTAAACCCAGAATCAAGATGTGTTCCTTAAAAATTCAAATTGCGGGAAACCCGAAGAAAGATCCAGTGTCTGCATATATTACGTCATTTATGGACTCAGCTTTGCGGGCAGAGAGGACGCAGCGGTAACGGACCGCGGTCAAGTGAGCCGTCATTTGTGAGCCGCGGTCAAGCCAGCCGCATCTTATCCGCCGTGAACATTTCATTGCACGTTTACAACAGTCAACGGCTCAACTACTCCAGCTGCGTCCTGCACACGGCAGCTGTAACATTCACAAAATCGCTCCACTAAAACAAAATAATTCACTTGCGATCGTTCATATCAGCGCATATTCTCTGGTATTTTGTGCTTTTCTGACGTGCTTTGCCTCAGCTGAGTTCATAATCTGTGCCCCGGTGACTTCAACTCATTACTGCTGGAGCGCCGCGCATGTGAAGATCCCTTTGGCTGATAGTTAGAAAGTAGGAAATCTAGGAAACAGTTTTTTCTGGAAGACGGAGAAAACATGCAGCATGCAGAAAGGTTAGAGAGAGAAAGGGCAGGAAATTATTCAAATAAAATCAAGAAAACAAAACAAAGTGCTTGAAAAGAAAAAAAGTAGGTAGATTTATCCCCAATACACATTTTTACCAGTGAAAAGCAATAATATATAAGCATTTAATATTTATACATGTGATAGAATCAGATCACCCCAGAAGTCAGTCCCACATCCAGGGCTGTATCAAGGAATTTGGGGACCAAGGCAATATAGGCTTGGAGCCCCCACCACCTCACTCCCTGCTCAGTTAATATAAGATGGCAGCGTGCTGAGAGTACAATTTGTTGTTGCTTTTATTTAATAAACAATCATTTTAAAGCACTGTTATTACATCTGACTGTTTTTAACAGCAATCCTAGCTCAGACACCACATCACCTTCCACATATATGTCATGAGCTCACTGAGCGTCACATGACCAGATTCATATTGAAGTTGTATTGGTGAAAGTAACTTAGAGTAATGCAAAAGTAGTGTAATGCCTTACATTTTAAAATCAGTAATATTGTAATGTAATGAATTACTTTAAAATGAGGGTAAGAAGTAATAAATAATGCATTACAGTTTTGAAGTAACTTGCCCAACACTGTTTAAATTCTCCCAAGTTTTTAACTTGCTGTTAAACGACAATAATAGATTAATCTGATTCTCCAAACACAGCTCACCCTGACTGCAGGTACGACATTGACAGTGAATGACAGCTCTACACAACCCCATTAAAAAAACACCTGTCTTTTTGATGGACACCATGTTGCTCTGCATTACCATACCCAACTCTCCTGCTCAGACAAACCAACCTTTGGTAGTTTGGGGAGGATGACAACCTAATAAGAAGCACTGACAGCTGATTCATGGCCCACAATTAATATTCACCAGGGAAAGTGTGTCCTATAACCTCTGGAGGCTTTGAGTTTGGCCCTTAGTCCAGCACTTCAATTCACAACCCAAGCTTTCCCATCGTTTCCTAATAAGGACTGGAGGGATGGAGGAGCCTTCAGCTGTTTTTTCCTCCTCTGTGTCTCTCTCTCTCCTTTCCCTCCTACACTGCAGTCAGGCAGGCAGTGTTAAATATCTCATCTCGTTTTATTCTCCAGGCTGCCATCAATTTCAAGCTGTTCTCCTCTCATTTACAGCACCGCCACACCAACCATGAGATCAAGATGCACATCAGTTGCCAAACGAGCAGGTTCACTTGCCTTTCTTGGCACAAAGAGAAGCAGTTGCACGATATTCACGACAGTCCTTCACATCTGTCAGCCGACATAGCAATCCTGGAAACATTAGACTGTTTCCAACAAGTACGTTCATGGCTCATTTTGGATTTAATTTCATGAATAATTAAACAAATCTGAGTGTTGCATTTATCTTCCTTTCTGTGCCCCAGTGGCTTCATATCACCTTTTCATCATAGCTGCCTGCTTTTTGTTTTCATCCTGATTTAAGTTGCTGATTTTCTGTGACAAGTAGGGTAGGTCTCATTGGATGGTGGAGTGATGAAAACACAGTGCTCCACTGCTCTCTAAAGGCCAGTTGGTGGACTTGAATTTACAGCATATGTGCACTCAGCTGTTAATGTTTGCATGCTGTCTCAGCAGAAAGGTGTTTTCATCAGAGCCGTTTCTCACCTCCTGTTCGTTGATAATAAACTGAAGTCACTTGAAATGTAAATGTGTCATCAGGCAAGCCTTTTTGACAGAACAGATGTTGGAACAGATCTCTGTATTGGGTTTCAAATGTAAACAAATCAAATGTCCCTTTGTCATAATGGATTTAAATGTCTTGTTCCCCTGCAGCAGTGGCAGGTACTCACTATGGAGGTACTGGGTAAACAGAGGTGTGGACTCGAGTCACATGACTTGGACTGAGCTATTATTTTAATGACTTCTGACTTGACTTGATAAAATCTATAAAGACTTACGACTTGACTCGGACTTGAACGCCAATGACTTGTGACTTGAATCGACTATTTTTCATAAAATAATTTTTATTTGAATGCATTAATAGTTATTTCCCCAGTATACATAGGGAAAATGCGCAATCTAGTGGAAAACATTCAAAACTCAATATTGAGTCTGTAACTGCCCTGGGAACCCAGACAGAAAAACAATAATAATAATACATATATATATATATATATATATATATATATATATATATATAGGCGTCATAGAAAAAATTATTTGCATGGGAATCAATGGCGCAAAACATGCACTAAGGGCGGTAATGGTTCAAAATTATTTCAGTTTTTTCATTAAATGGAGTAGGGGAATTTTTCTAAATATTTTTGGTATTCCTCCAAAAAATACACATTCTCCTCAAAAAATAGATAAATTGCAGTAGCATAGCCAAATTATTCACAAAAATACACATCTGAGCAAAAATAATGCACTTAGTTCATATAAGGGTTAAACAATTCTGGAGCTTTTTGCCATCCATTGTCAAATTACAATTGTAGGTACTGTACAGTATTAGCTCACAGGAGACACGGCAACCCCACACTTACTGATGGTAAACAGTTGTTACAACCCTCCTTCCTTTGTTTTGAAAGGAGAAAGCCAGACAGTCCCCACAGCCAGTTGGATATGAAATATGTTTCAGCATAACCCTCCTTCCGAAATGAATAAAACATCAGACACTTTTAGGATTCTCTCACTGTAAAAGTCTCACTAAATTCTTACATACTGCACTTTTAAACGCTTTGAAAGTAAGGTAGTGTTTCCTACAAATCTTCCATAAATTTATAATTGTAGTATATGAATAGTAAAGTAGCAATATGAGCTGTATCGATACTATGCGCTCTCCTCTATGAATATGTGTGTAATAATAATACAAATCTTCAATCTTTTCAAACTGCAATGATTCCTCCTACCACCAGATGGTGATCTTCAGCACACTTTCCACCATTTTCACCTCCTTTGTTGAAATCGTAACCGGATGTGCAGTTTCAAAACAACAGAAGGTTTTGTGTGCTGTGGTTCCTTTCCAGTTCTTTCTTTTAAAATTTTCTAACAGACAGTAGTTGGAATGAGAGTTTATTTTGTCTCCTTAATATCCTTATAGCAGTTGTATTGATCTTCAGCATGGCGGGGGCGCTTCTGGACTTCGAGACCGAGATGTTTTTAAGTCTGTTCGGCTCCGACGGGCTGCTGGTGTTGGCTGAGGGTTTGGGCATAGACCGCATCCTGCTGCAGTTCATGAGGGTTTATTCGGAGAAGGGCAGCCTCGTTCTACTGCTCAACACAACCACACCTGAGCAGGTTGGGGCTTTTAGCTTAGCTTAGCTCACAGCTCCAATGGACACCGAATGATAACCGCGAAAAGTACCCAGATGTTCATTTTTTTTTTTGTTAGATCAGTCACGATTAATGCTGCTAAACCCCGTTTCCTGTCATTTTTGTGTTCCAGGAGTTGTGGAAGTGAACTGAAAATCTGATATGTTGAGGCTGGAAACGAGAAAATGTGCAGAAACCCTGAGTTTTCTACATAAATTAATGTTTTCTCTTCTCATATCAGGAGTATTTCACAGAGCAGCTGCGGGTGGAGGGGGTGACCCATCTGCCGAGGACAGTGACCAGTGACGTTCACAGTGCTGAACGTTATGACGTCTACACGGAGGGAGGGGTTCTGTTTGTCACCAGCAGAATCCTGGTGGTGGACTTCCTCACGGACCGCATCCCCGCTCACCTGATCTCAGGTCAGCTTCTGAGTGGTTTTACACAGCTCTGTGATGAAGTACTTGTACTCTTACAGATGTTCAACTTAAAAATGAGTGATGCACCAATATGAAATTTTTGGGCCGATATCCAATATTAAGATCACTGTTATGGCCGATAACCAATATTTGCCGATACCGATATACTGACATTAAAGGCTTCTAAACTCAGCAGATTTTGTATAGAATGAAAATGATTAAAGCTGAATTTGTTATTATGTACACACACATTTACGCTTCTGAGATTATTACAATCACTGTCACATGACTAAACGAATACACATCACCCCACCCCCACCCTCTGAAACAGGCAAACAAATGAAGACGAGATGGAAAAAATATAATTTGTTAATATCGGCCCAGTTTTATTTATCAGACCGAAACCGATATGTTAAAAAATGACTAACATTGGCCGATACCGATATTGATGCCGATGTATTTTCCATCCCTATTAAAAATAACAATAACGTTGAGTGCACCTTTCTTTCTATTCAGGCATTCTGGTGTACCGGGCTCATAAAATCATCGAGTCGTGTCAGGAGGCCTTCATCCTGCGTTTGTTCAGACAGAAGAACAAAACCGGCTTCATTAAAGCCTTCACTGACAAGGCCACAGCCTTCTCCTCTGGCTTCTGCCAGGTGGAGCGAGTCATGAGAAACCTCTTTGTCAAGAAGCTCTACTTGTGGCCCAGGTCCAGGAGAACAAACGCATGTTTACTGCACGAGACACCAGTTATCTCTTGTTTTTCTTATCTCTTTTAAACCTTCTCTCTCTCTCTCTCTCTCTCTCTCTCTCTCGCTCTCTCGCTCTCTCTCTCTCTCTGGATTTTGCCCAACAGGTTTCAAGCCTCTGTGAACACAGCCCTGGACAAACACAAGCCAGAAGTGGTGGAGCTGCATGTGTCCCTAACACCGGCGATGAGAGCCATCCAGAGCTCTATTCTGGACATCATGGCTGCCTGTTTAAAGGAGCTGAAGCAGTACAACCCTACTCTGGAGGCTGAGGACCTCTCACTGGAGAACACACTAGGAAATGGGTTTGAAAAGGTCTAAAAGAAAAACGTGACTCACCAATGGTGACGTTTAGCTTATAAAAAATGGTTATTTCTACTTAATGTGCTGTTACACTGCCTCTCTAATCAGATTCAAGTCTGACAAATGTTCTTTCCTGTTCAGACTATACGTCACTACCTAGATCCTCTGTGGCATCAGCTAGGAGCAAAGACCAAAGGTCTTGTTCAGGACCTCAAGGTTCTCCGAGTTCTCCTGCTCTACCTCACTCAGTATGACTGTGTCACCTTCCTCAATCTGCTGGAGTCTCTGCGCTCCAGTCAGAAGATCTTCGGCTCAAATTCAGGTGAACTGTTACCGAAATGAATACGGCTTGAAAAATATGTCAAATTTGAAACTGATTTAGTTGTTTCATAACTGACCTGTTAGGTTGGCTGTTCCTGGACTCGAGCACCTCCATGTTTGTTAACGCCCGCAGCAGAGTGTACCGGTTTCCTGAGAACAGAAAGAAACTCAAAGCAGGAGAAGAGGCAGAGAAGCAGAAGTCGTCCACCGCCTCAGGTAAGCTGAATATGTCATGGAGCCGCTCGCTCGTTAGACCAGACGTCTGCACTAAAGGTGTGCGTGTGTGTGTGTGTGTGTGCGTGTGGCTTCCAGAGGTGAAGAGGGAGCTGGTTCTGGAGAAGAGTCCGAAGTGGCAGGCTTTGTCTGAGGTTCTGGAGGAGATTGAGAAGGAGAACACGAACTCTCAACATGAACTGGGTCAGGGTCCATCATGCATGTCAACATCACATCACACCATCTACTGTATGAAAATAAACAGTGATTAAGCTTTTTTAATTGAAAATGTATTTTTATAGCAAGGAATGATACAGAATGATCTTTTTTATTGTTACTATGAAGAAATTTAAAAACCAAGTTCACTGAGAAACGTGTTTTACTTGTTCTTTTTAGAATATACTGTCAGGTCCACAAATATTGGGACATCGACACAATGCTAACATTTTTGGCTCTATACACCACCACAGTGGATATCAAATGAAACGAACAAGATGTGCTTTAACTGCAGACCCTCATCTTTTATTTGAGGGTATTTACATCCAAACAGGTGAATGATGTAGGAATTACAACGGTTTGCATATGTGCCTCCCACTTGTTAAGGGACCAAAAGTAATGGGACAGAATAAGAACCATAAATTACAGCCTGAAGTCTGGAACACAGACATCACCAGATGTTGGGTTTCATCCCTGGTGATGCTCTGCCAGGTCTCTACTGCAACAGTCTTCAGTTCCTGCTTGTTGCTGGGACATTTCCCTTCAGTTTTGTCTTCAGCAAGTGAAATGCATGCTCAAGCTAGTTTAGAAGATGCTCTCTGAAGAGCAGAGTCTTCAGGAGTTTCTTGAAAATTGAAAAGGAAGCCACTGTTCTGGTAGTGCTTGGAAGGTCATTCCACATTTGTGGAACGATGCATGAGAAGAGTCTGGATTGTCCTGAGCGTGGTGTAGGCACTGCTAGCCGACGATCCTGTGATGACCGGAGCGGCCGGGCTGAGACGTAAGCCTTTGCAAGAGGATTCAGGTAGATGGGAGCCGTACCATCTCGGACTTTGTATGCTAGTGTTAGCAATTTGATGCGTGCTGCTAGCGGTAGCCAGTGGAGCTCAGTGAACAGAGGGGTGACGTGTGCTCTTTTTGGCTGATTGAAGACCAGACGCGCCGCTGCGTTCTGGACCATTTGAAGAGGTCTCACAGTACAGGCTGGAAGACCAGTTAGAAGGGCATTGCAGTAATCGAGGTGGGAGATGACAGTAGATTGCACCAGGAGCTGGGTGGCATGTTGTGTTAGGTATGGTCTGATCTTTCGTATGTTATACAGCGCAAAGCGGCATGAACGAGCAACAGAGGCAACATGATCTTTAAATGTCGGGTGTTCATCAATCACAACACCCAGATTTCGAACTGCCTTTGAAGGAGCCAGAGATAGGAAGTCATTTTGGATTGAGATATTGTGCTGTATGGATGGTTTTGCTGGGATGACAAGTGATTCCGTTTTAGAGAGGTTGAGTTGGAGATGGTGGGATTTCATCCATTTTGATATGTCAGAGAGACAGTTTGATATTCGTGCAGAGACAGTTTGGTCGTCCGGTGGAAATGACAGATAGATCTGGGTGTCGTCTATATAGCAGTGGTAGGAGAAGCCATGTGATCGAATGATCTCGCCCAGTGAGGTGGTGTATTTGGCAAAGAGAAGAGGTCCTAGTACAGAGCCCTGGGGGACTCCTGTGGCAAGATGGTGCACGGTAGAGGATTGTCCAAGCCAAGATACACTGAATGATCGTCCTGTGAGGTACGATTCAAACCAGGCGTGTGCTTTCTCTGTGATGCCCATGCTAGAGAGTGTGGACAAAAGGAAGCCATGGTTGACAGTGTCACATCCAGCCGATAAGTCGAGCAGGATAAGCACTGAGGATTTGGCAGTCGCTCTAGCTTCTTTTATGGATTCCGTCACTGCTAACAGAGCAGTTTCAGTGGAGTGGCCTTTTTTGAACACAGATTGGTAAGGGTCAAGCAGACAGTTTTGAGAAAGGTATTCTGTGATCTGCTTGAAAGCCACCCTTTCAATGATTTTATATGTTTATATGTTTTGTCTTAATATGTTTTTATTCATTTAGCAGACGCTTTTATCCAAAGCGACTTACAATTTATAACTTATAGGGCATGTTGTGATCTGTGGGGGAAACCGGAGTACTCGGAGGAAACCCGCGCATGCATGGGGAGAACACTTAACTCCACACAGAAAGGCCGCAGCCGAGCCGGGTTTCGAACCTGCAATCTTCGTGCTGCGAGGCAACAGTGCTAGCCACTTCGCCACCATGCAGCCCATTTTGGACAGAAAAGGGAGGAGAGAGATAGGTCTTTAGTTCTACACATGATTTGGAGGAAAATATGTTTTTTAGCAGCGGTTTAACCTGAGCGTGCTTGAGAGAGGTGGGAAATGTACCGGATGTCAGTGAAGCGTTGATCACATGTGTGACTGCTGCGGCTACAGTAGGAGCAATAGCTTGGAGCAGCTTAGTCGCAATGGGGTCAAGTGGGCATGTAGTAGGGCGGCTGCACGTGAGAAGCTTGGACACACAGTTCTCAGTGAGAGGGGAAAAAGAGGAAAATGAAGCAGTAGGGCTTGAGATGGTTGGGCTAGAAGGAGTTTGTGGTAGCGAATGTTCAAGAGTGGCCAGTTGAGTAAACTGTTTGCTTATAGCTGCCACTTTGTCAGTGAAGAAAGATGCAAAGGTGTCAGCTGATAGGTTGTTGGTAGGAGGTGGAGAAGGAGGGTTGAGCAGAGTTTTGAATGTCGAAAATAGTTTCTGAGAGTCAGCAGAGCTGAGAATTTTGTCAGTGTAGAAAGCTTTCTTTGCATCAGTGATGCTGGCAGAGAATGAGGACAGTAATTCATGAAATTTCAATTGATCACAAGGATCTTTTGTTTTGCGCCATTTCCATTCCGCAGCTCTAAGATTGGTGCATAGAGACCGGAGGGTATCATTTAGCCAAGGGTGAGACTGATGATCTAGCAGGTCTAGTGGCTAAAGGGCACAAGTTGTTAAGACAAGTTGATCTTGGTCTCATCTGTCCATTGGATGTTGTTCCAGAACTGTGAAACTCTCATCTGGCCTTCCTGTTTTGGGGGCTCACCAATGGTTCTTGTTGTTTTGGCCACGCCTAATGTTTTTGCTATGTCTCTGATCGGTTTCTTTTGCTTTTTCAGCCTAATGATGGCTTGCTTCACTGATAGTGACAGCTCTTTGGATCTCATCTTGACAGTTGACAGCAACAGATTCCAAATGCAAATAGCACACTTGAAATGAACTCTGGACCTTTTATCTGCTCATTGTGATTGGGATAATGAGGGAATAACACCCACCTGGCCATGGAACAGCTGAGAAGCCAATTGTCCCATTACTTTTGGTCCCTTAACAAGTGGGAGGCACATATGCAAACTGTTGTAATTCCTACACTGTTCACCTCATTTGGATGTGAATACCCTCAAATAAAAGCTGACAGTCTGCAGTTAAAGCACATCTTGTTCATTTCATTCGATATCCACTGTGGTGGTGTATAGAGCCAAAAAATGTTAGCATTGTGTCGATGTCCCAATATTTATGGGCCTGACTGCAATCGGTCACTCTGAATGTAAACATAGTTTTCTACCCTTATTTCCTGAATTAACCGCCAAAATAAACAGACTGGGAAACACTTGGGTGAGAAAAAAACCACTCAGATCTACGTCACACCTATCTCAGCTCACGGCGGGGAAGACTGATGTTGGTTTAGCATGCGGGAGAGCGTAGAGCACGACTCGGCTGGGAGAAGCTAACTGTCATCACACATTTGATTATGAACCATTATAAATGAGAAACGGTAAAGGTGTGGCGAAGGATGTTTCTGAATTTCAGGAAAGTACCACCCTCTCCACGTTTTGACAAAAATGTGCATGAGAGAGGACGCCCAGTTATCCTCGTGCACGCTCTTTTTCACGAGTAGCTGCCGGCCTTGCAGCTAACATCTAGCAGTAATCTGAAATGAATTTGTCCAAATAGCATTTAGAACTTTAGCTTAGCTGTCGAGCAGAAAACCGGCAACAGCGGTGTCTGTGGCGAGCCTAGCCTTCGCTTTTCGCAGGAAGTAAAAACTACCCAGCAACGAGCACGGACGATGACGGCATTGCATGAATGGTTCACCAGAATGATTGGCAGTTATGCGGACCAATGGTTCAGATGATCCACCCAGAAGAAAAGATCCTCCTCTATACCTTTAACACGAGTTTCATGTGCTGGTTAATCCACTTCCAGTGTTGAGTTTCCACTGTAAAAACAAAGTTCTAAATGTTTAAAAATGTTCCTGGTTGGTTGGAAGTGTTCTATCCATTAGATGGGACTTTAGGAGTGAGGCTGGGGCTTAAAGTTTTATTCATCTCTTGGAAAAGCATCTGGAGACATTCATGTTCTGGATGCTTAGATCAGAGTGATCCTAACAAAACATCTCTTACCTGGCTCATGAGGCCGGGCTTTGCTTTTTAAACAGTAGGTCTGGATTGTTATCGATAGAAAAGGTGAGCAGTAATGTTCTTGTGTCCATCATGCATGAACAGCTGGGTCGCTTTGAAATAAACTCGGTTTTATTATCACCACAGCTGATGGACTTGTTCATCACTGAAAACAGATTCATGAATCTGTCACTCACTGTGTGTGCGTGTGCGTCTGCCTTTACCACAGGTCGTGTGCTCATCTGTGCCAGTGATGATCGGACTTGCGCCCAGCTGCAGCAGTACATCAGACACGGCTCCGACTGGCTGCTGACTAGACTGTACAGCCGCACCATCGCTAAACAGGACTCTGCTGTAGCTGCTGCCCTCGAGCTGGAATCACGCAAGAAGGGAAAAGGCTGGGTCAACAACGGAGCCAAGGGCAAGCAGCCTGCAAAGAAAAAACACACAAAAGACAAGAGCCGACCTTCTCTGACCCTCACCCAGATGATGGGGAAGAAGGAGGCGGATGAGGCGGCAGCAGTGGGCAGCAGCGAAGATGAGGACAATCTGATGGAGGGCGATGGTGGCAAGGAAGAACAGCTGAAGTTGGATCTGTCATCAGACGCGTATTATGGCATCCTTAAGGAGCCACTGATGGTCATCCACCCTCTGAAGGGCTGCACCGACCCCCACAGTTTGACCCGAGTGCTGCAGGAGGTGGAGCCCAGCTTCGTGGTGCTGTACGATGCAGAAATGAGTTTTGTTCGCCAGCTGGAGATCTACAAAGCTAATCGACCCGGAAAGCCCCTTAGAGTTTACTTCCTCATCTACGGAGGCTCCACAGAAGAACAGAAATATCTGACGGCTCTGTCCAAGGAAAAGAAAGCATTCGAACACCTCATCAGGTGTGAATCCTGCCTCCTCCTGGAGCTTTGAGCTAATGTTGCTTGTGTTTGTTACGTTAATGTTGGCTGTTGTGTGTCGTATACAGAGAAAAGGCGACTATGGTCATCCCAGAGGAGAGGGAAGGACGAGAAGACACCAACCTAGACCTCGCCAGAAACTTGGAGCCTGCTAATGCCACAACCAACACCCGTAAAGCAGGTGTGTGTTTTTGTTTTCTTTAGACTTTCCTGCTGTAGACGAGTTAAGAGGCGACTGTCATTAGTCAGGGCATTTTTATTTGAATTGTTCTTTGTCCAGGGTGGAATTAAAATGAGTGATGTTCCAATCACATTGTTTTCATCCACCCAACAATGAATATTGATCTAGAGGAACTTGTTGAAATTAAAGTTGAAGTAACGACTTCAGAATGTTCAGGAACAACCAATAAGGATAAAAGCTAGTGCTAGCTGTGTGTTGTATCTTCATTTTCATCTGGGCAAAGCTAAAATGAATATGCCGTTCACACCTATGACGAGTGGATGTAAAACTCTGACTCAAATAGCTTTGACATTCACCAAAACCTTTATCATGTTTAATTCATGGTTTATTTCCATTTCCTGTCCGATCATCAGGAGGCCAGGGTCAGCCCAAAGAGCCCTCACGAGTCATCGTAGATATGCGTGAGTTCCGCAGCGAACTGCCGTCCTTGCTCCACCGCCGTGGGCTGGACATTGAGCCTGTCACCCTCGAAGTGGGCGACTACATCCTGACACCAGATACCTGCGTCGAGCGAAAGAGTGTCAGCGACCTGATTGGCTCGCTGCAGAGTGGTCGTCTTTACACCCAGTGCCTCGCCATGACTCGCTACTACAGAAAACCAGTCCTCCTCATCGAGTTTGACCCGGCGAAACCGTTTTCCCTGATGGCTCGCTCGGATTTCCGGTTCGAGATTTCATCGAATGACATTTCTTCCAAACTGACATTACTCACATTGCACTTCCCCCGCCTTCGGATTCTCTGGTGCCCCTCCCCTCACGCCACTGCTGAGCTCTTCCTGGAGCTGAAGCAGGGCCGCCATGAGCCTGATGCTTCTGCAGCTCAGGCGGTCACAGCTGAGTCAGACACAGTCGTTGAATCAGCTGACCTTTACAACCCTGGCCCGTATGACTTCCTGTTGAAAATGCCAGGAGTGAATCCCAAAAACTACAGAGCTCTAATAAAAAATGCAGACAGCCTAGCAGAGGTAGCCAGACTCAGCCAGGAAAAGCTGGCAGAAATCCTCGGCAGTGCTAGCAATGCTAAGATGCTGTATGAATTTTTGCGTAATGTTGCTGATGTCCCTGCTCCAGTACAGAAGACCAAACGTTAATGAATCATTTATTGTTTAATATTTTGTTGGACATTAAACAGTATTTTTAAAATGAAGTGATGCTGGTTTATATGTTGATGATTTTGACGCATAATTTTGGTGTCATCTTTTTTCATTAGAATAGATTGTATGTGTGTGTGTGTGTTTTTGTTTTTTTACTTATTTGAAACTTTAGAAAAAATGCAAATTTAGATTTTGGTAATAAAATATATTTTTAAATGAAAGTTGACATGCATTTTTAAGTTCCTATGTGGTGGAGATATGTTGGTTTTGTCTTTATTCATTCTTTGTATCAACCTTTATTAAATCATTAACTTTGCAACTACATTAGAACTGTACGATTAGATCATTCGCTATGGACCTATGTATAAGGGGACTCCTCGGTTAGATAAATAATAATTGCCATGAAATATGTTGGCACTAGTATTTCTTCAGACCACAAAGTAATTTAGCCCAACCATTACACCAACTCAAACTTTAAAAAGCTGATGTTTTCATATATATAATGATTTATTCCATTTGATTATATTAAAGTAGGAATACGATTGTTTATTCTTTTTTATTTCGGATTTTTTTTTTTTTTACTTAGAATAATAATATTGGGTATTGTTGTTGATTATATGGTACAAAGGTCTGCCTGAGGCTTTTTGCTCTCCGCCACTCTCCCAAACACTTCCTGTCTGGCGGCGTCATTACGTCACCCTGCATCCCGAATGAAGGTGGACCACTCGCAGCCATTTTACTCAGCGAAATAAACTTCAGTCTCCAGCCAGACGGACAGTGGTGGCCAACATTCCTCACCTTGCGTCAGTGGATATCTGGTCGTGTAGCTCGGATGGATTCTGGCTTCGAGGCTTCGCTGTTCGGTAAGAGCAGGGACGAGGGGCGGCGCGGTCTTGTTTTTAGCTTTAGCCTGCCTCGGCTTAAACAAGCTAACTTTAGGATGTGAGGAGGGTGATTTGAATACTGTGACACAGCAAGACGCGTCCCGGTCAGACTAAACATGGAAGCCCACACAAGTGTCTCTGGCTGTTCTATAGTTCTTGCTTTGTTTCTGTACATGACAACCACGGAAGCGACTCATCATTACTCTTTCATTCACCTGTCAGATTTTTGTAGCTAGCCAGCGTTAGCTTATCCCACATCAACCCGCCTTAAAGCCGTACCTTTAGAACGCCCACTAAGCTACTAAAATGTAGCATCAACCCAGTTGTTGTATTGCAATATGTGTCTAATATTTCCATTGACCTTGTTAATGTCTGTTACGTTGGTTAGACAACTCTAAAATATTTCAGCAAGTCACGCTGCATGTTTGCCATCAAAAAGGCATATTTCTGTTACTTAATGCATGTGAGTCTATTGAAGTGTGCAAAGCTAGTGTTGTAACAGGCCCAATGTTGTTTTCATGGCCCACGCAGACTGTCAGTTTGATCCAGATGCTGACTGTCTGCGCTTGTTACTGAAAAGCGTGGAAAATCCGCGTTGACCTGAACGCCACACAAGCAAGCCATTGGGAAAAGCTAAAAGCTTTGGTTTCTTTTTCTTCGTTGGTTCAAGTTAGCAGGAAGCCTTAGCCAAACAAATAAGAACAAAAACACTTTTCACCAGTGGTCAAATGTGCCTGGTGTGGTTAATAATTTCTTATTGTGACAGAGGCAGAGAGGAAGGAAACTGTTCTTGTCTGGGGACAGCAGAGTTTTGACTACCAATTAACCACAGGGATGACATCATTTCTGCCTTATTTTCGATAAAAGCACTGTTTTTGACTAGAACCTGCTCTGTTTAAGGCCTGGAAACATATCTATTTTCACATAATTTGTTGGAAACACGTTATCACAGTTTAACTAGACATAAAACTCATTTGAATAGTCTGAAGGCGAAACTCAAGGTTCAACAGGCGATACTTGCCTGACAGCACAGCCTGAGTTATATAAATGACATTCAAAACAGATCAGACAGCATACCTGTTGGAATATTACGAGTCCACGTCAATGGGCTGAACGTGATAAGGGAAAAACAAAAACAATGTAATTGACATAAGATGTTTATTATTGACATTTTTGGCACATTCTGGTGCGAGCATGCTCTTATTTTACACCCCTGCTCTCTTTCTGAAGGCTAGTCTCACAATTTGGGAGTCAGTCCTAGTAATGATAGAACAAAGGCAAACAACACCGATGGCTTGTGGCAAATGGCAAAAATGTCTTATTTGCAAAATGTTACCTCCCCACATTCTCTGTGGTGTGGCATGTAGCTAAATGTTTAGTTATATTGTTCAACATTTTCATTTCTAAGTTTTGACACATCCTGCTGGGCCATTCAGGTTTCCATAGTTGCTCTTCACTACTTTTATAGCAGTGCTGTGTGTCCAGTGTTTCCCTTACAGAGGCGTAGCCGTGGCGGCCCGCCACGGCTGAAATCCCAGCGCCACGCCTACAAGATAGATTTTTAATTTTTTTTATTTTGTGCCGTTTCCCAAAGAAGCAGCGGGAACTACTTTGTTGTTGCTTGTTATCACAGCTGGCAGGCAGCACGGAGGAGGCAGGGCAAGGTGGTTACAGCTAGGGATGAGCCGGATAAGCATTTTTGACGAATACGAGCGTGAAACGAGTAAAACTCGTAAATATCTGTAATCGTGCTGAAGGAAAATCCTCATCGGGTAACTGACTGTCTTCACGCTCTGTGATTGGCCAGTCACATAGAGCGCCCGCCCCTCCCTACACACAAAACTGGAGCCGGGAGCTCAGTCCGTCCGGACCATACACGCACACACACACACACACAGTAACGGATCTCTCTGTGCTTGCTTCACCGTTGCTCACGTTTCTTCAGTGCTCCCTAGGTTTTCTTCAGCTCGCCTCTTTTTCGTTTGAATTTTTAAAGTTGCTTTTTTCGTAACGTACGTGGTGCATTTGACAAGACAGAGCTGAAAATGGCTCGTACATGCATCAGTCACGGCCTGCGCTCGGGTCGGGGTTTTTTTTTTTAACTCCCTCTTTCTCTCTCACACACACCTCAATCAACATTGTTGTTTAACTGTGTGTGGGAAAAATGCCAACAACGTTAGGAAAATATCAGTTTAATCAAATTAAAATAAAAAGTTGTGTCTGGTTCTAGTATTTCATATTTCCTAGTTCCTACTGAGAGTTCAGATGTGTTAATTCATACACTTAAATATTAATGTTCTGATTTTACTGAAAAACTTTTTCTGTAATAGTTCCTTTGCTATTGTGATCAAAACTATTTAATCTAAATTCTGAGGCTGCTCTGTAAATAGTTTTCAAATAAACAATAGTTTATAAATAAACAACTTCTGATCAATCCATGTCAATTTAAGATTTAAAATAATGTATTGATGTAAACCACACCCACTAATTTCCAAATAATAAGGTGCATTCATCTGTGTATTTCCTTTGATCCGCATTAGTGATATTTTCAGCACCAGAACAATGAAGCAAAGAAACAGATTCCTGAGTTTGTTAGTAATTTTATTTATTAGGTGCATCTGACCTGTTCTATTTTTCTCTGAAATCAGATCAAATCAGTGCTTCTATGGGTTGTCTCCTCTCTGCACTAGAGAAATGCACTTTATTATAATGTTCACTGTAATGCATCTTGATGTTCTTAACAAATAAATTAAATCAAAGGTATTGGTCAATAATGCCAAATATGTAAATTTGTGTTTCAGTCATTTTTAGACTGGCTTAAAAATACTTCATTAAGTCTACTAAGCAGGGGTGTAGAACATGTTTAATAGGGCCAGCCCAGTAATGATCTTGGACCAAAATACAGGGGGCAGAAAGTCAAATACAGGGGGGGCAGAAGGAGATGTTTTTCCAGATGCCAAGAAAAATTAAATGCCAAATCCCCCCTGTAAAGTGTCACTGAGAGTTTAAAACAAAAATTATTTTTGTGCAAATATTGGTGTATTCACCTGTAATACTAGTTATTAAAATGCAGCAGTCACTGGATTGGTGCTGATCAAAGTGGAGTGCATGAAATAAAACAATATTAACATAAAGGTGAGACGTGTCATATCCTCCCCACCACCACAGCTGGAAAAATTCCTAGGGGAAACACTGTGTGTGTCCATATTTTCTAATTTGTGGCAGAAATAGGAAACACATTAGCTGATGTTTGCTTAGGTGTGATTGTTAAAAAAATATTTATTTCATATATTCTTTATCCCAAATATGTTTGTGCATTTTATGGTAGTCTAAACTGAATAAATTGGTGCCTTCAGTTTGTTTAAAATGTGAACTCTATAGATTTTCTTTCAGATCAGTCAGTGATGTTAAAACATGACTTTAAAATTGAAGAAAATTATAGAAATATTTTTCCTGTAAACAAACTGTTCTAAATCTCACCATTTAGCAAAGTCACGTTTTATTTATTTTTAATTATTTTCTATGAAAAATCCAGTGATTTTCTTTCTGGGAGGAAATCGATTACTCATTTTATTTCCTCGTCAGCAGTGTGAGCTGCTTTGTTAGACTAGGGCTGCAGATTTTGCTCATACAGGAAGTGAATCTGTGTGTATGTGACACATGTTGTGGGTTCTTTATCGCTGACATTCCTCACATCCAGGCCTATTTGTAGTAGAGATGACCCGTGACCTCTTTTCCTCAGTATGCAGGGCTTTTGTTGCCGTTGTGGGTTTGTGTCTTGTTGTTCCCATTTCATCAAACTTGTTTAGTGGAAGTTTTGTTTCATAACTGAAGTTACTGTAAACACTCTTGCTTGTTCCAGATTAGTGAGGGTTATTTTTAAAGTTGTGTGATAGAATAGCCTGAGGTGACGGACACACCCAAACACTAATTGGACTGTTTGACTTTACTACCTCCTTTTAACTCTGATTTCCTCTCATTGTTTAGGTAAACACTGATGAAATTTTAAGTCCACATTTGCTTCAAGATGATCTCAGATTCTTCCCTGGTTTAAGGTGGATTTATGGTTTATCACAGAGAGAGAGAGAGAGCTGTGGTGAAGTAGCACCAAGCAGTCATCAAATTCTGTAAATTAACTGATGTTTATGTTTGAGTTCTTTGAGGACAGTCTGTTATTATATCATGAGATCAGCAGCCTCTGTTGTCGGTTTTTTGAGTCAGTCGGTTACCGGTCCTTGATCCAATGTGGATTGTGTAATGTATTTGCCTTCCAAACCAGAACAATATGACCAGCTGGTTGTGTCTTTTTATGTCATTTGGGAACCGTTCCAAACTCTCTGTAAGCTTGTTCCCTCATTTTTCTCTTTTGTTTAACCAAAACAAATTGAAAACAAAAGCTAGTTTGCATCTGATGCTCATTGGGCCACAAAGTTCCTTCTTTTCTCCTTACATAAAAGCTAACTCGCCATCATCTATTACGACCGGCCTAGGAGAAACAGATCGTACATCTGCCACTATTAAAGGTGCTCTGTGGCAAAGAAGAAAATACTTTTTAAATAATCCAAACTGGGGTTCGAATGAAGGCAACTGGACGTCTTCATTGGAATTAGGGCTGAACGATGAAAATAATCTAATTGCGATTTTTTTTTTCTTCAATATTGCAATTGCGATTTCATTCACGATTATTTTCTCAAGGGGCTTTTCTCATTTTTCAACTAACGGAAGCAAAAAATTTTTTAATAAATCATGTAACTTGTACTGAATATAAACAAGTTTATATACAGGGTGTCCGCGGGTCCTTAAAAAGTCTTAAATTGACTTTTCCAAATTTAAGGCCTTAAAAATCCTTAAAAATTACAAATAATCCTTAAATACAGTTTCCAAAGGTCTTAAATGACCCAATAAACAAGATTCTTTTATTTCTATAAAATTTTCTTGAATTTCTAGTTAGTATTCAGCGTTTTTTGTGTACGATGTTG